AGGATTTTAGTTAGGGACGATTTTTAATATAATTTTAATTACGACACAGCTACCAATATTTGGCTTTTAATTTGGTCTTAGAGGGGTTTTTTATTTCGTTATTTATTTATTGTATTGTTATTTGTTTTTAATATGCTGTGCACCGCCCTGAGTCCTTCGGGAGAAGGGCGGTATATAAATCAAATTAATAAATAAATAAAAATAATAAAAATTGATGGTATGCAATTAAAATAGACCTGATAAAAGATTATTATTATTTTTTTGGCAATTGTAGACAATGATTTCTCTTTGAATAGGAAGTTTTAATTAGACCAGTGCTAGGCAAAAATAAGGTGTCTTTCTGCCAATATCATGACCGTCACCCTAAATCATATTCCTTTTAACCTCCCCAAAAGTGACTCTGATCTAGTTGTATCAGCTCTCAAGAGTATTGGTTTAGTGATCAGATGAAAAAGAATGTAGAGTTGAGTTTGGGGATTAGGGAAGGAACAAACGGTCCACTAAGGGGGGGGGGACTTAAAGGGAAGACTACTCATCCTGAGAAAGAGCAAATTGTGACAAAGAAACCCAAAATAATCCCACTTTTATTCTGTGCAGTGTATGTTTGGACAGAGATAAGCCTACTGTAGTTAAGCTTTCAAGATTCTTTTATTCTACCTTAAAGCACTTCTTCCAGTTCAACCCATTTCTTGACTTGGCTGACACCAGCCTAGGTCATGACTCCAGTTTTAGAGGGTTCCAAGATAGCTGTTAGCCTTTTGAGGTAATCCGTGAGTACTATCACTACCCTTATTGTAAGGTTACATTAACAGAATCTTGCAAGTGTGAAACCACATTCCTCCCACCTCACCTTTGCTTTCTAGGGAACTAGGGAGGATCCCTTCTGGGATAGAATAGAATAACAGAGTTAAAAGGGACCTTGTAGGTCATCTAGTCCAATCCCCTGCCCAAGCAGGAGTGCCTACACCATTTATGACAGTCTCTTCTTGAAAGCCTCCAGTGATGAAGCACCAACAACATCCAAAGGCAGTATGTTCCATTGGTTGATTGTTCTCACTGTCAGGAAAATTCTCCTTATTTCCAGGTTGAATCTCTCCTTGATCAGTTTCCATCCGTTATTTCTTGTCTGGCCTTCAGGTGCTTTGGAAAACAGGTGGACCCCCCTCATCTCTGTGACAGCCCCTCAAATATTGGAACACTGCTATCATGTCTCCCCTGGTCCTTCTCTTCACTAGACTTGCCATGCCCAGTTCCTGCAACCATTCTTCATATGTTTTAGCCTCCAGACCCCTGATCATCCTTGTTGCTCTTCTCTGCACTCTCTCCAGAGTCTCAACATTTTTTTTTTATAGTGTGGAGACCAAAATTGATTGCAGTATTCCAGGTGTGGTCTTACTAAGGCCTTATAGAGAGGTATTAGTACTTCACGTGATCTTGACTGAATCCCTCTGTTAATGCAACTTTCCATGGTCCAATTCCTTTTACAAGCTGAGATGTCTCTTATCTCTCCATTGCCCCAGTGGCAGCTCTTCTTCCTTCTGTCTCCCATGGATATTCTCACAGACCATTACAATAACTCAAGAATGCCCAGGGAAGCCTCCATGGAGGAATCCAAAAGATGGCAGTCACAACTGCACAATGGGAGTATTGCTTGTATTTTGCATGTATCTACCATAGTAGTAGTAGTAGTAGTAGTAGTAGTAGTAGTAATAATAATAATAATAATAATAATAATAATAATAATAATAATAATAATAATAATAATAATAATAATAATAATAAAGTTGGAAGGGACCTTGGAGGTCATCTAGTCCAACCCCCTGCTCAGGCAGGAAACCCTATACCATTTCAGACAAATGGCTGTCCAGTCTCTTCTTAAAATCTTCCAGTGTTGGAGCACTCACAACTTCTGGAGGCAGGTTGTTCCACTGGTTAATTGTTCTCACTGTCAGGAAGTTTCTCCTTAGTTCTAGGTTGCTTCTCTCCTTGATTGGTTTCCACCCGTTGCTTCTTGTCCTGCCTTCAGGCACCTTGGGAAATAGCTTGACTCCCTCTTCTTTGGGGCAGCCCCTGAGATATTGGAACACTGCTATCATGTCCCCTCTCGTCCTTCTCTTCATTAAACTAGACACACCCAATTCCAGCAACCGTTCCTTATATGTTTTAGCTTCCAGTCCCCTGATCATCTTTGTTGCTTGAATTTGACCCCCTGTCTTGTGTGCATCATTCTCACGTTCAGCTGTTTTTCCAAGATAGTCTCTGGGACAGATCATAAGGAATGTTCTCAAGTTTTGAAGGCAGGCAAGCACTGACTGAAGCCACAACAAGCCTTTCACTATTATGATTAGTAGTAGTAGAAAAAGAGACATGTCTCCCTTGTTTATGCCACTCAGTCTTTCTCCTCTTTCTCCTATGCTCTGATTGTTATTATTATTTCCACTTCAAGGATGTATGATCTCCAGAGAGCAATACACTTGACTCAGCTGGATATTTGATCATTTTGCTTTAGTTGATTGACACCCTCCATGCTCTGTTGGATAGCCTCCTTTTTCTGATTTTTCCCTACTTCAAAATTAAGATGTAACTGAAATAATCAGGGGTCTTGTTTCAAAAGGAAATATGCTTCATTTTATATATACAGAAATGCAGACATCTGTGCATACTATGTGCCTCTGTACATGTAGGTCTTTTTCTTTCTTTCTTTCTTTCTTTCTTTCTTTCTTTCTTTCTTTCTTTCTTTCTTTCTTTCTTTCTTTCTTTCTTTCTTTCTTTATTTCTTTCTCCAAATGTGTACACTGCACATCTCATTATCCACATGATTCTGTGTGGTTTGCAAGTAAAAACCCATGGAATCCTTACAAAAAATCCTTGGTTTTTAATCAGATTAATTTCATTAATCTGAACTTTAAAATGGGAGGAAAATACTCTTCCTTATCTTTCTTTGATTGACAGTTCTAATGTCCAATCATAGCATAAATTTGGGGATGTCTATCTTATTGTCTATCTAGAGTGTTCAATGCAGCTAATAATCCTATAAGCAAATATGGTCTGGTGTAGGTCATACAGAAACAATGATGTGACCTACAAAACAAATGAATTTATCAGTGTGCATATAAACCATAGAAATCCATCAGCTATCTGGTAACTTACCTTTTCTCCTCTCTCACCTTTGAAGCCAGTGAGCCCAGCTCTTCCTTTTTCACCCTGTAAACACAGATAACCCAAGAGCTTATAAGATGATCCTTGGCGACAAAAATAGATCCAAAATATTGTTTGCTGCAATTTCTGCCTTCCCTAAGAATCTATTGCACAAGTCCATTTGAGGACAAAAAAAGGAAGGGAGAAGCTGTACAGACTTCTAAAACAGATGATCTTCAAGGTTCCTTCCAACTTTACTATTATTATTATTATTATTATTATTATTATTATTATTATTATTATTATTATTATTATTATTATTATTATTATTATTATTATTATTATTATTATTATTATTATAGATTCAAAGTCTCATTAAAAAGCATGACTTCCTTTTCTTGTTAGAAGGGAACAAGAAGTTTGCTGGGGTGGAATTTGAAATGGGTAAGAAAGCTGATTAATCAGAAGAGGATATATAATAATAATAATGGTAAAGTTGGAAGGGACCTTGGAGGTCATCTAGTCCAACCCCCTGCTCAGGCAGGAAATCCTATACCATTTCGGACAAATGGCTGTCCAGTTTCTTCGTAGTGTTGAAGCATTCACTGCTTCTGGAGGCAGGTTGTTCCACTGGTTGATTGTTCTAACTGTCAGGAAGTTTCTCCTTAGTTCTAGGTTGCTTCTCTCCTTGATCAGTTTCCATCCGTTGCTTCTTGTCCTGCCTTCAGGGGCTTTGGAGAATAGCTTGACTCCCTCTTCTTTGGGGCAGCCCCTGAGATATTGGAACACTGCTACCGTGTCCCCCCTCATCCTTCTCTTTGTTAAACTAGACAGACCCAATTCCAGCAGCCTTTCCTTATATGTTTTAGCCTCCAGTCCCCTAATCATCTTTGTTGCTCTTCTCTGTACTCTTTCTAGAGTCTCAGCATCTTTTTTACATCGCGGTGACCAAAACTGGATGCAGTATTCCAAGTGTGGCCTTACCAAGGCATTGTAAAGTGGTATTAATACTTCACATGATGTTGATTCTGTCCCTCTGTTAATGCAGCCTAGCACTGTGTTAGCTTTTTTGGCAATCCTGCACTATATCCTAACTGCTGCACCTCTACAGTGGAGGAATCTTTCTCAAATTATTTCCCTTGCCACCCGTGGCAAGCTGAATTAACAAGATTTCACTGCCTTTCTAAATTCAAATTATGTTAAGGCATGTGAAACCTCGGGGACAATGCTGTTCCAGGGACAGAGCACAGACATCCAAAAAGTTCTGTAGATGATATTCTTTAAGAAAGGGAATTCTGTCTTTCTCACCAAGTTGGGTGAGCAGAAATGCCCCCCCCCCAAAAAAAAAAGTCCTGTAGATCCTTAGAGCCTGAACCATGAAAGGTTTGAAAATGACAACCACCATCTTAAATCAGCACCTCATCCCTATGATGTGTCTCTCAAACACAGGGTTAAAAAAAAAACATGTAAAAAAAACAAAAAATTGCAGTAAAAGGGAGGTTAACAAGAGACAGTTTACTTCCTTGTGGGAAAGTCTAG